TTTAAACATCAATGATTTAGTTCCACAGTGATTGAACAGCTACTAAATTAATCTGTAAAGCTCAGACCCAACATTACGGTGAAGTGGCATCGACACACACTTTCCCCAACTCTCTCACAGCCATTAAACTATGCTTTGTTCCCACTTGCTTTATTCTTTCACTTCATGCCTCTCCTTATGCGTTTCCCACTCTCTTTTCTCTCCCTCTCTACATCTCCAGGACTCTCGGTGGGCTTGTAAAGGAGTTTTAATAGAGAGGAATATAAATCTGCAAGTGACAAACTCCAGTCGTGGCCGGGCGGGGGCCGGTGTGTACGTTGTGAACTGCTGCGCCGTAAAAACCAGGACCTCCGAGGCTCCCGTGCCACTCTAAGATTCCCGCTGGCATTGCCGTGAGACCCCACAACCTCTCAGCCCGGACCACAACACGCAGGCAAGACCCACGCAGGGTTTCTTTACTCAGACTGTAATACTATCAGGCCCACGGTGATGCCTGGTTTGGCTTTAGAGCAGAAAGTTAATCAGAATCAGAATCCCTTTATTAGTCCCACACAGGGGACATTTACATTGTTACAGCAGAAAAGAGCCAAAGACAGCTTAATGTTAACTAAGAAGCATGCATACAAAAGTATTAAAGATACAAAAATAATAATACAAAAACAAAAAGTAGAAGAAAGAGAAAGTGATGTCTTCAAAATCACCTTTCTTTTAAAGATTTGAGACTTATAACTTATTCCATTTAACTAGTATTTTAAACTCCTTTTATTTACATCTAATACTGTTAAGAAACATTTTTAAGCTAAGGTTACATTACGTCCATCGAATGTATTATTTATTTATTTGAATAAATCTAACAAGACCTTTATTTTATTAACTCCAATGACAGTAACAACACCAGACCCAGAGGCTAAACACGGCTATGGAAGTAGAGGTAAATAGACGTAGTTATAATCCCTGGTTGATCCTGGGATTAATAGTTATAACAGTATTGTTACGATTTACGGCACAAACAAAGAAAACGCCTATTTAGAGAGGTTATTACTAACTATGAATAAATAAATAAATGGCCACCATTTTGGTGATTACAATTTCAAAATAAAAAAAGAATATATAATATGACAATAAACCCCAACATTTCCAGATGCATGATCGCGTTCAGCCCAATATTAAACGGAATCTTTCATATAAACTGATAACTTTGTATTTACTGGTTATATTATTGGTTTGTCCATACGTGTCCTTTGCTCAAGATAAAAACGAATTTCTTTATAGTAAGTATAAGTAAAAGAACCACAGAAACATGCCTTATCGTTCGCCTTTAATCCAAAAGCATCAGGAGTTACTAAATAACTGCCCTTTTCATTTCAGTATGTTTTAGAAACCATTGTCCCCAATGTTGTGAGAAATGTTGCCAACACGGTTTCTCTTACAAGACAGCAACACTGAGAGAAAAGTTAAGCTGAGTGCGTTTTAAAATGAGGCTGCAGGTCTTTAGTTTCAGTCAGTTTAGCCAAAAACACATTTAAATGATTAGTTGGATTACTGTTCTGTAATCAGATATCCTATCTGACACCTACATTCTAAATATCATCCATCACAGGTCTTCTGGGTTAATGTTCACATCAAATGATGATTCATTTCAAACAGTACAGCATATTCTGGAAACAATAGATCTGTGTTTGGAGCTGACAAGAGTCTTCGAGAGGCTGATTAATAGTCCATGGTCAAATACATTTTTTCTATTCTGAGAGCCTCTGGGAAGAGACAATAAGAAACATCTCATAGGCGAAGTTCTCTCTCTCTCTCTCTCTCTCTCTCTCTCTCTCTCTCTCTCTCTCTCTCCTTTACTCAGCCTTCCAACTTTTCTATTAATGAGGAGGAGAAACAGCTAATGTTACTGGACTGCTGTCAAAAATATGATGATAATAATGAGGAAAAAGAGGTGTGAAGTGTGAGGCAAAAGAGAAATGCCAAGAGTGATCTCACCTCAAGTTGAGATGTAAAAAGTCCCAGGTTTAATAGGAAGCTGGTGTTAAAGCTTTAAAACTGAGATGATGAATAAAATCCAGACATGTATTTCTAATACGGAGAAGTAACAGAGTGTCCATTGGGTGGCGCTGCAAAGTCTCCAGCGGTACAGTAGAGTACAGTAACATTTCCTCGTCTTAAAATGGAAGATAAACCAACTTTTTAGTGTTAAAACAACAGATCGGGCTCGCTGGCCGCTGAACTGGAGGCTGCAAATGTCCTTTAGATTCCTGTTAGAATAATAGATTGATAGATTTAACAGGCCCACATCCCAAATTAATAATGGTGTTCCACATTGCAGAGCGTATCGAATCTGTCAGATAGTTTTAGCAGCTATTCGACTCCACCTTTTTTCCATTTTGCTCGAGTTTGGCTCCCCGTTTTCCATTCCCCAGCAGCTGTGTTTTGAGTCATTTACAGCTCAGCTGACATTGTGCTCCACATAATGGATTAGAGGACAATGAAATCATTTTTTGGGAAAGGCCTTTTGGGAAATGATGGATTCAGTGGATACAACAGCTGATAAAATGCAACTCTGAATTTATACTGTGTTGAAAATCTGGACAGAGATTGAGTGGAGTAGGAGAGCACATCTTTATTACTAAATGCAGGGTATTCACAGGAAAAGAAAGGGTGGAATTTCCAGCAGTCGATTTGATTCAGCGAGCTACACGTCTCATGCATGGCACCGTAGCTGCTTTTTACTCATTAAATTCATCATTGTGTGTGCCTAACAACAAATGTAATCAAGATGCAAATGGCTTACACATTTGGGTATTTGTTACACTACACTGAAATACTGAATATCAAAGACAAATATCATATGTTCAATAGAAGCAGAAGCAGTATCAACAATGTAAAATGAAGTAGTAGTAGTTTTTACTTTATGTCCTTTGTTCTCAATATACAATAGTTAAAACAACTTGTAGCTACATCTATAGTATAATTGGTAGCACTTTACAATAAGACTACCCCTAAGGTTGTGAACACTTTATAAATCATTAATAAGCTTTTATAAGATATGAGATAAACAGGGCAACTGTGACCGGTTGCTTGCCAAATAGCGAGCCCACATTTATCTGTACTGATAAGCCTTATATTGGCTACCTAGCTTACTTCGTCTTCTTCATCAGGTAGCATCCTTGGTATCTGTTGTTCAATCAGGAGAGACGTGATGTATGAAATACATGTTTATTATCGGGTCACATTATATAAATGAAACATAATGATGACAGTTTATGACAAGTGAATGAAATGGTGTTTGGCGATTCGGCCCAGGTTTTGTAGGATATCATTCGGGAAGGGAAAGAACCGTTTCCGATGAACCCCCAAAAGAAGTGAAAGTATGAAGTACTGAACGTGATGAATTCTTACCTTGTGGGATGCAGTGGAAATCTATGGATGAAATGAGAGGTTAATACATGTGGGGATTTAGACATACTGATGCTTCCTAGGCATCCTTCCTGGACGTACAGGGCTTCCCGGACGTACGGGGCAACCTGACTTAGCAGGGACACATTTTATACAGACCCGAAGGTTACGACCTGGGCGTACGGGGCATCCCGGACGTACAGCGCATCCCGGACGTACAGGGCGTCCCGGACATACGGGGCTTCCCGGACGTACGGGGCATCCCGGACGTACAGGGCATCCCGGACGTACAGGGCGTCCTGGACATACAGGGCTTCCCGGACGTACGGGGCATCCCGGGGACGGGGCTTCCTGGACGTACAGGGCTTCCCGGACGTACGGGGCATCCGGACGTACGGGGCATCCGGACATACAGGGCGTCCTGGACATACAGGCTGACTTAGCAGGGACACACTTTATACAGACCCGAAGGTTACGACCTGGGCGTACGGGGCATCCCGGACGTACAGCGCATCCCGGACGTACAGGGCGTCCCGGACATACAGGGCATCCCGGATGTACGGGGCATCCTGGACGTACAGGGCGTCCTGGACATACGGGGCTTCCCGGACATACGGGGCTTCCCGGACATACGGGGCGTCCCGGACGTAAGGGGCTTCCCGGACGTACGGGGCTTCCCGGACATACGGGGCGTCCCGGACGTACAGGGCTTCCCGGACATACAGGGCTTCCCGGACGTACGGGGCAACCTGACTTAGCAGGGACACATTTAATACGGACCCGAAGGTTACAACCTGGACGTACAGGGTTAGACATGTCAAGGATAAACATGAGCCGCGGGGCGAATATACGTGCTGACATGCTAAGAACCACCACCAGTTATATGCATATCGTACCAATTTAAGGTTGGAGAGACCTTTGGATAGCCAGCACGGCACTGAGGTCCGGACGAATGTAGGATGAGAAAGCGGAGGAGGACCACCGTCCGAGTTGTTGCAGTGATGAGGATGAGACGCCTTGATTAGCAGCGGAAGTAGCTGCACCTATTCTAAATGAATGCCCCGTGTATAGGAGGGGGGATAACCCGGATTTAATGAGAACTTGCTTTAAATAGTGATTGAACTGTCGTTGAGTTAAGGGAAAATTCCCTGAGATAAGAAATAATGGTGAGAGAGGATTAGAGGTAGGTCTAAGCTGTAGGAATTTGATCATGGATTTATAAGGGCAGAACTGGGAGTCGTTGCGGGCGGCGATGACGGAGCAGGCGCCGCCGCATTTGGAGTGCTTAAGATGTAAGCTAAAATGGCTGGCGTGAAAGGATATGTCAGAAAAGCTGACGTCTCGATTGGAATCGAACGTTAGAGCATCTGTGGTAAATTCGCCTGGTCTGAGGAAAGCATAAAAAGCTAGGAGAAATAAAGCATCAAGTAGCGCATCGATATAAGGGGAGAACAACCCACTTCTAAGTTTGGAGAGCATAAGGCGTAAAGTTTTAATAAGACCTTTGAGAATGAGTTTGACTGACTGGTTTGCGAACAGGCTGGGAAAGCCGGGATCGAAACAGCGAACATTAAGCTGAACTCCTGCTAAGAGGCCCCGGATGTATTGGGGTTTGAGGTGGCGATCAGTGGCCAGTAGCACATGAAGGCGCACACGGTGGAGATGAGAACAGGTTTAAGTGTAATGCCTACGGAAAAGCAAAATAAAGCGAACGTTCTCCAAGCGAAATCGTATGTTTTAAGGGTGGAAGCGGCTAAGCCCTTCCTCATAAAAAACCTGGCGGATTCGAGGTGCCTTGCTAGGGGGCTTCTATTTAGAAGAGAGAGAGGAGATGCAGGGGAGGAATCCTGACGGGTTGAGCGCTGGCTTCTGGGCAGAGGTTCCGGAATGTCTGGAAGTGGAAGCGAGAGAGGGAATCAGCCACTGAGTTGAGGTGGCCGGGAACGTGACGAGCGGAGATGAGAAAGTTGTGGGTGATGGAAGACCACGTGATGCTTCTCATGAACGGCATGATGTCACGGCACGGGGAGCGCGCTTTATTAATAATCCCGACCACTGATTGGTTGTCACAGAGTACTGAGATCCGCTTCCGGGGCCAGAGGTGACCCCACACGTGGCAGGCAACAGCGATCGGAAAGATCTCATGCAGAGCGGAGGAAGAGGCATGGCTGGGGAATGACGGAGGCCACGAGCCTGCGAACCACTCTCCCTGGAAGAAACCCCCAAAACCCACGGATGGGGCAGCGTCCGTGAAGAATCTCATGGAGTCGGAGGAGTACACGAGGTCGTCGTAGAAGAAGGTGACGCCATTCCAGTGTGCGAGCAGGAGGGACCAAAACCGCAGGTCTGAGCGGCAGCCTTCATCTAAGAAGACGTGGTCATGGAGGTTTTCTACAGCCGACGCTGTATCCAGGAGCCGGGAAATAAACGAGCGCCCCTGAGGGATAATACGCATGGCGAAGTTGAGGTGCCCGAGCAGGGAGAGCAGCTGCTGCTTGGTGATAACTTGTTGCTCACAGAAGGACTTTGTGATGTCGCGAATGCGCTGCAGTTTGTCCGTGGGGAGAGACGCTTCCATGTCTACTGAGTCGAGTGTAATGCCCAAAAACTCCAGGCGTGTGGTGGGACCTAGCGTTTTCTCTTCTGAGAGGGGAACACCTAACTCCTGAAAGCATAGTTTGAGTTTTGCTAGAGAGGCGCCTGAGTTGTCCCGAGGGGGATCTATGAGGAGGAAATCGTCCAATAAATGCAGGACGGAGGGGATTCTGACGATGTTCAGGAGGATCCAGCAGAGGGCTTCGGAAAAAGAATTAAAGATGCAAGGGCTACTTCTGCACCCGAAGGTTAAACGGACAGCGAAGTAGAATTTGGACTCCCACCTGATACCGAACATGTGCCACTGAGATGGGTGAATGGGAATTATTTTGAACGCGTCAGTAATGTCTGCTTTGGAGAGCCACGCTCCTTGCCCTGCGAATTTGATGAGCTTGATGGCATTATCAACTGAAGCGTAATGAAGAGAAAAATACTCTGGGGGAATAAGGCTATTGATGCTGCAAAACGGACCAGCGCGAGGAGCGGACAGATCGAAAATGAGCCTTTTCTTCTCGGAGTATTTGCGTGTAGCGACCCCTATTGGGCTTGTCCGGAACACTGGGAACGGAGAGGAATGGAAAGGACCGATTAAATATCCTTTGTTGAGCTCTTTTTGAATGAGCTGAGAGACTATGGTGGGTTCTTTGGCGGCTGACTGCAGGTTTTTAGCCACTAAAGAAAGGACCCCTACCCTGAACCCTTGAGAGAGCCCTGACAAAAGATAATCGACGAACACGGGATTTGGGTGAGTCGAAAGCGCAGCTGCTAAGTGTGTGGTGTTAATGGGAGTCGAGGGGTGATGTTTTAAAAGGTTTTTCCACCACGTTGATTCTGGCGCGGGAAAGGGGGCCGGCGCCTGGGGCAAACTGACCTCGGGTGAGCATCCCTGCAGGTACTGCAAATATGAAGAAAAGTACAATGAGGGTAAGAACACACGTTCTCATTAAAAGAAACGCAAATCTTATTATCCCCTTGCTTGATCACCTGACGGTTTGGTTTATTGTTCCCAGAATACTGCGTGGGGAAAACGCTAGACCCGGAGAGAGGCACTGAAGGGCAGAGCGGAGAGGTGTGGCCCTGCGCTCCGCAGCTAATGCACGAGACGACTTGTTGCCCGCCGGTAGCCATTACGAGCAGCTCGGTATCCAGCACGGACCAGTCCAGGCGGATGTTACAATGAGCTAAGTGCAGCGCTGCTTTGCTAGAGAAGCTTTTATGGTATTGATAGTACACGGATTTCCCGTATTTGATGTGAAGATCGCCAATCACGGCCAGATAAGCATCTGAATCCACTCTCCTTTCAGGGTAAACTGCGCAGAGGACATCGCGGAAGATGCTAAAAGCTACCAGAAATTGCCCTATAGAAAGGTCTTTGAGGAGCCGGGGGTCTGCGGATTTAAATACCGCAGTAATGCTTCCTCCCGTGGCGATGGCTTTGTCGCACTCCGGGGAAGGCAGAATAAGGCTGACCAAATTAATGTCTTTCCCGTCGAGGATTTTCGCTCTGAGCCGTGAGGAGATGTTAGCGGCTTGGGGAATGTAGGGCCTACCTGAGGGAGGAGCCGGGAGGGCGGAAGCCAGAGAGTGAGAAGGAACTACCATGCCAAATACAAAATCCTGACTCGGCCTCTCTCCATGGACTGAAGGCGAGCGTCGATTAGCAGCATAGAACTTGCCAGAGATTGCAGTGTGTTGACTAGGCTGCCATCGAAGAGGGGCTGAGTGCCGGAGCTCCCGGGCTGAGCGGCGCTGGGCTGGACGGCGCTGGGCTGCTGAGCGGCGCTGGAGCGAGCCTGAGGAGTGGAGGATTTCTTGGCCGAGCAAGCTCCTGGAGGACTCGCTTTTTTAGACCTTTTGCCGCCCTCGCCCTCTTCCGGGGGGGCTGGCTGGAGCTGCTGGCCTGGGCTGGGAGACCACACCGGAGGCTTGATCCGACAGCTCACGGAGCTGGGAAAGCAGGAGATCTGGGGCTGGGGTGATGCCCTGCTTCCGGAGATGGGCGACGAGGAATTCTGCCTCTGCTGTGCGAGAGCCGCTGCGGGCGCTCAGACGAGAACTGAGGCGACGGTGACTTGAGGAGTTTGACGCTTCCTCTGGAAGTGCATCGGAATCGGGATCAAGATCGTTAGGCTTGTGAATGGAGGGAAGTGATAGGTTAGCTGAGGAGTGGCGCTCCCTATCATTTAGTGAAGGGAGCGAGTATTGCCATGACGTGCAATACGAAGTGATAGGTCTTCCTGCCTGAACTTGCGCTGAGCTTCATTTCACTGACTTGATTCTCGCTAAGTAGCCAATATAAGGCTTACTCATCTTGCCAAATAGTGCGCCTGTGTTGATGTATGAAAACTTGTTTATAAATGGTTCTTAATGATTAATAAAGTGTTTACAACCTTATTCATAACCTAATTATAAACCCTTTATGAATCCTTTATAAAGGGTAGTCTTATTGTAAAGTGGTACCGTATAATTTATATAACTTTTGATCCATATATTTAACTATTTTCCCAACATTTCTCACTGATGTGTTGCACAGGCTACTTAAAAAGCCCGTTGTGAGGGCATTACATGGTGTGGTATAATGAATTGATTACATATGACTAAAGGAGTAATCTTGTGTCGAAAGAAGGTACCATAATTCAATAATTTATGGTTGATAAATTCACCCTTAATATGAATGTATGCTATGTTGTCAGCAAGTTCAGTGTAAAAACTTCCAGGAAGTCTTCGCCCACTGTGAAATGACGGGGTCTCCATGCTTGATCACGCTGGGTGGCAGGGCTGGCACTGCACTGGAAAGCATTACTTCTGCACAGTGTTAATGGACTTACTTAACTCCTGGGTCCTGACTAGTGTTTTCCAATGAATTAAAGTGTCAGGAGCCACAAATCAGCGTCTGGGATAGGTCATGTGGGTACTGGAGGTGAGGGCTTGGTGGGCTCGCCGCTCTTTCTTAATGGTTTGCTCCCTGGACGCATGAAACTGGAGCCTAAAACCCAACCTGTTGTTACTGAGGCCCCATTTGTACTCCCATCTACCCGTAACACACACGCAACCATAACCGCACATGCATGCCATTATTACATGCTCACACACACGAACACTACCATCTCTCCCTGAGACAAGTCGACTCCCACACACACACTAACCCCTCTTTGGCAGATCAGTAACATTTGTTCAGCTAAATGAATTAAGTAATCGCACAATCCCGCAGCCTGTGCATTACAGAGGAATTTCCATATTACAGCACCTGATACTCCCTGTTCACAGCTCTCCTACGCCACTAATGCAAGCCCCTGGCCAGGCGGGCCGTAACTGGATAGCCGATGGGACTGTGCTGCAGCAGATGAAGTGAAGTACAGTGGATATGTGTGTGCGGTGTGTGAGTGGAAGTGGTCATCCGTGCTATATGGGTCCTTTTTTTTTTATTAGAGCTCATTAGGACAGCAAATAACTCAAGTCCGTTTTCATTTAAGCAACAAGCCACTTGAGCCTTTGGCTTGCAGGGATTTAGAATAGCTATGAGGCGTAGTTAGGTACGTCAGGACCCAAAGAAAGCTGTGTTAATATGACTATTAACTACAGCAGCTTTGCTTTCAAACAAAATCAAAGCTATTATCCTTTAGTGTCCTCCCTTTATTTTACATTCAGCTGAATACAGGATCGCAATATATGTAAAAGAACAGAAGATGAGGTCATTTTTTTTCCTTGACAAAAACGAATGCCAAAGTTACCCACAATGCAACTCTGCCAACAGTTAAGCCAGAGTGTTATATTTGGTATGCTAGTAGCAGCTAATATAGCCTTTCAAGAAAGTCTTGAAATATCGCTCCTTCCCAGCTTCACTTTTTATCATTTTCAAACACTTAGTCTTCACATTCATCTAAGGCAGTTCATCAAGACTTCGGGCCTCCCTCTGGAGCCACAAAAGGCTTCATAGAACTTCTGCAACTATTTCACACATGTATTAATACTGATTTGGCGGATCTTGGGAATCCAAAATCCCCTGAGGTGACCCATGTACCGAGACTCAGACCTTACCGCAGGGTTCAAATCTGACCCTCAGCCTTTTCTGCGCGTCATCCTCTCTCTGAACGGCCTCGATGTGGTTACAGATGATTGTTTAATAGTGGCCTGATTTATACTTTATTTTATTCAGTTTGGGAAGATAGCCAATCAGAGTTCAGGATCATTGCTGTGTAGAATTACAACTGCTACTCTCTCTTCCCATAATCCCCTGCCGGCCTCCTGCCCCATGTGACAGGATAATTAACCAGTTGGTAGATCTAGCAGGGAGAGAGGGCCACACACAGCTGCCTCGAACCTCTGCAGAGCCGAGGGGCTTTGGCTTTTAGATTTAGATGAGTTTAGAGAGAAGAGGTGGAAAACTTTAGACGGAGCCAAATCTAGCTGCTGTTAAACGATGCTGCTGGAAAACAAAACCACTTACACTGCAGATATCGGATTTTCTTGAACATGTAAATTCCTTAAAGACTGTATTTTTGAGATTTTTAAATTGTATTTTAACCATGGTAAACTGCGCAGGGGATGTGAAATTGACCGAACACATGAAATGAAAAGTGTTTTTGATGCAGCAAAGTTTAAAGGCAGCGTCAGGTGTCTGGAGGCTCTGCACAGAGAGCAGAAAGCCCCTCAGTCAGCACACACTTTTACTCACGCTTTAAATCTCTCTCTTTCCTCTCCATCGCTCTGGGATCATGTTTCAGGAGCTCTCTGCGATTGTAATCAGGAGTTTCCCCTTTTTTTTTTATATATCTGGCGTTTTTCAAAAAAAATCCCACACAGAGGCTGAGACTTTTTGCACATAAAGCGTCTAAAAGAGAAATATGCCCTCAGCTATCATGATCTGTCACATCCGCAAACATGACAACTATTTCAAGTTTCATGTAAATTAAAGATTGTTAAGCAAAGTCTTTATTAATTAAAGAGGAGGCACAGAACTTTGTAAGGTCAACATATTCAGTTTCAAGTCTTGAAATGTAACTTGTATTCATTTAATGATGGACATATTATTGCAAGAAAAAAGCATCTTGCATGATTTCTTCCTTTAAGAGTTACATTATCTGTATTATATTATTGTGTTCTTAACACTGGTGCATTAATCATGCCATGCATTTCAATGTTGAAGCTGTTTAAGATGGAACTAACTTCAGCTAGTTTATCAACTAATGTTCAAACTAAAAGCAACACATTATACTTTAGGTCACATGTGTCAAACTCAAGGCCCGGGGGCCAAATCAGGCCCTTGGTGGATTTCAGTTCGGCCCGCAGGATAATTTTTAATTACTATTAGATCTGGCCCGCCGGTATATTGCACGCACACTAGGGCTGCTCGATTATGGCAAAAATCATAATCTCGATTATTTGGGTCAATAATTGATATCACGATTATTAAGAACGATTATCCATTTACTTACCCTTGATTACCCTGAACTGTACTGTAAGTATAATTGAACTGAAAAAATAAATAAAAATAATAATCGTTTTATTTAGATTATGTTGTTTTCATAATCGTTGCAAGCCAAAATCGTAATTGCGATTAAAATATGATTAATTGAGCAGCCCTAACACACACCTTCACTCAACCCTGAGGGTCTCCTCAGCTCAGAGCCTGACCCCAAACATTGATGAACTTGCACCCAAGATGAGATGCCAAGTATCTGGCTTCTGCTCTTTTTTTCTTGCGACAACAGGGCATGTTTGGTTTTTTCTTTGAGGGAAATTCTTTTTTTTAAGCTGTTGTTGTCCTGTGGAAAAATGTAATCATAAGAAATGACTCCGGGAAAGCTGCAGAAAGAGCCATAAGAAATGATTGATAGAGCCATAAGAAATGAATTCAACTGATTATTTAATGTTGTTTTTATACGCAATAATTTAAGTTT